TCAGGAGCCAGGGAAGCTAGAAAGCTGAAATTTTAAGGGGGTGTTTCCTGACAGTTCTGGCGGCCATTCTTAATTTGTTTTGCTAGAAGTATTTACTGGTGCCGATAGCAACAAAAATTGCGGGGAACTATGCAAAAAACGCATCTTCGCACAGGCAACCCGTGCGTTGGGCAATTATTTTTTTTTTTTTTTTTTTGATGAGTTGCCCATATAGCAGCCATTTAGCACTTTATTGTTGGTTAAAAAACAGAGTTTGTGGCCAGCTATACCTTCCTTTTGTTTCATGTTTTCCATCGTTTTTTCTCACATTTTTCCTTTAACCCTAAACAGGCGTTATAGCAGGATTGCACAGATTTGGGCAGTCAGTGTTAAGACGAAAGTGAAGAAGCGAGGCGAGTTGTCTTCAGCAACTTAAGAGACTTCTTTTCCAACAACTGTGGAAGCAGTACTTTCCGGGTGCGATGTGTTGCACTTCAAAATGAGGTGAAGGGGAGGAGGGGAATTGGTGTACCATTCATGTGATGAAGCGGAGAAGCTAGGAGTGCTCAAAAGAGCCAAAGAATGGAGAGATTGTAGCTCACACTAAAATTTTTAGGTCCTAGACTTTGGTAGGAAATTGTATATTAAGAGCTAAATTAGTCATATGATTGGGACCACAGATGGGCTAAGCGGACTGTTAAGTGATATCCATGAAACGTCAAACGAGCGCATTTGAAATGTTCACGAGGAGATGGAGGGATTTGCGGAGCCAGTGAATGGAGTTGCGTGGATACATGGAGTGGAGTTTTGAATGAAAATACCGCCAGTTACGATGATGGCGTAAAGGAACACGACAGGGTATTGATAGCTGATCAGAAGTATTGAAGGTAAAGGGTATTAAAATCCATCAGGGCTGCTAGAATTGCTTGCAGGATTGTTTCTTAAAATGGGAATTTTTTTTTTAAAATGGTGGATTTTCTAGTTTTTTTTAAGTCATCGCATTTTCTTGCTGGTCTAATTTTTTTATGGTGACGAAGAGGGGGAATTCGCATAAGGTGAGTGCTGTGAAATATTTAATGAAAGATCGCAAATACAGGTATGTATCGGAGAGCATGGGAAGCTGTTCAAAGTGAGGGGCCGCTATTTGGGCAGAAAATGAGCACGAGAAACAGGGAAGCCTTTTGTAAAAGTAAAGCTACAGCTCTCTCAAAGTCAATAATTTCCAGGAAAAAGAAAATTAATTTTTAGCAAAAATTTACAGATGCGCTGCTGCTCCTGCTGCCGGTCATTCGGGTTCCGAAGTAGGCGGTAATACAACAGACGAGACGAGCTTCTCGGATGCTGAGGATAATGCTCGGGAGCGCGAATTCGATGCTGCTTATGATTCGGTCAATTTGACTCGCATCGACAGTATGACAAGGGAAGAGGTGTGTGTGTGTTTTTTTTTTCATCTTCGTAATGAATTTTGATCAGTTACACATGTGAAGTTTTTCATTTTGGAGAACAAATTCAGTCGAAATTTGGCTGGGAATAGGTCTTAAACAGTGCCGTTAGCGGCAAAAAATTGCGTGGAACTCTGCAAAAAACGAATCTTCACATCAGCATACGGTACGCTGGCCAATTTTTTTGTTTAGCTAGTGCTCCTGTTCCGAAATTTTCGCGATGCTGTTGTGATATGTTAAATTAACAGTGTTGTACAGTTTTTGAAACAGAAATGTGACAGTTTTTCTGCAGAAATGTTTCTGATTGGAGCAGTTTTTTAGCAGAGCTGAGAGGCAGATGAAAAATATAGGCAAGAAGCTTATTGAGGGAGCGTAAGAAATTGCTGGAGAAGCGTAAAAAGGACGGGACAGGATTCGCGGGTAGATAACAAATTGCATAAAACTGAAAAGAAATATTCTGCGAATAGGGAAAATGAGGCCGGCTTAAAATCCAGCTAATCCCGCGGTGCTGTTTGCGCTTTCTTTTTGTACACGTTGCTAATTTCAGATTATCCAGGAATATATGACATTGGATAAAGATAACTGTCGATTGTTGAGTCGGCTGAACAGTTTACAGTGGCAGAATGAAAGGCTCAAGCAGCGTTTGAAGGAGAACAGTATTGCCTACGATGATCTGTTGGTACCAGCAAAGCGATGTCGCAGCGGTACATCTGCTTCGGAGGCAAGTGAAGCTCGGCGAAGTTTCGATGAGATGATGATGGTCGATAATGCGGCAAGACTGTCGTGAACAGCACCAGCAGGTGGTCCTTTTGCCGTTGCGTTGCGTCTCATTGGTCTCGTTTTTTTTTTTTTTTTCTCATCATATTACTGAATTTTAAATGGCACTCGTTACGTATACTCCACAGCATCACACAATACTTTTGTTTGTGAGAAAAAAACGGTAGTAGTAGTAGTAGTATTAGTAATAGTAGCGATGCATGTGAAGCCATTGCTCTTATCCCACCCACAGCCCAGAAAAAAGAAGTTAGCTGTGATTTTTGTTTTGTTCGCTGATGAAATTTTTCTGAAAACACCATTTCTTAGAACTTTTAAATTTGTGATTCAGTGTGTTGTTTTGTCAAGCGAACATTAAAGAGGAAAGAAAAATTATTGTACATATGTACTGTAAACTTCTTCAAACAAATTTTTATTTTGGGAGGGGAGCAGAGGAAAAGAAGAAATAAGCGCATAGCGAAAACTAAGATTCAGCTCGGATGATGCACATGCTTAGACCTCATATTTGCCTTTATCTCTTTGGCTTCACAATCTTCGAGAACTTGAAATTCTGTGTTGCTGATGATGATGGTCGTTTTTTTTTTTTCTGACTTGTTTTAATAATTGAGTATTTAGAACTGTATAATGACAGTCACTTTTTTTGTCTTATGCTGAATTAACGGACGCTTAATTCCTCACTGATTCTGCTTTTCTATGTTTATTGCAATCCCGGGATTTTTTCGTTTTTTCGGATTATTTTTGAAGTTT